ATTCATGTTGTACCTGCTGACAGCTACATCTCTCAAATTAAAGAAAATACAATGAAAAATAAAGTAGTCCTGAGCAACAAAAAGAAATTGGTTAATGAAGTAAAGATGTCAAAACTTTAAAAAAAATTTTTGAGCCTTTTATTTTATTTATTTACTTTTTAATTGAAGTATAGTTGATTTACAATGTTGTGTTAGTTTCAGGTGTACAGCACAGTAATTCTGTCATATTCACACACACACGTATATATATATGTATATATTTTTTTCAGATTCTTTTTCCCTTATAGGTTATTACAAAATATTGAGTATAGTTCCCTGTGCTATACAGTAGGTCTTTGTTGATTATCTATTTTATATATAGTAGCATGTATATGTTAATCCCAAACTTCTAATTTATCCTTCCTCCCCTTCCCCCTTTGGTAACCATAAGTTTGTTTTCTATGGCTGTGTGTCTATTTCTGTTTTGTAAATAAGTTCATTTGTATCCTCTTTTTAAAATCCCACATATTAGCAATATCACATGATATTTGTCTTTCTCTGTCTGGCTCACTTCACTTAGTATGATAATCTCTAGGTCCATCCATGTTGCTACAGATAGCATTATTTCATTCTTTTTTATGGCTGAGTAGTATTCCATTATATGTATATTTGTGTGTGTGTGTGTGTGTGTGTGTGTGTGTGTGTGTGTGTATCACATCTTCTTTATCCATTCATCTGTTGATGGATATTTAGGTTGCTTCCATATCTTTGCTATTGTAAATAGTGCTGCAGTGAACATTGGAGTGCATGTATCTTTTTCAAATTAGAGTTTTCTCAGGTATATGCCCAGGAGTGGGATTGCTGGATCATACAGCAACTCTATTTTTAGTTTTTTGAGGAACTTCCATACTGTTTTCCATAGTGGCTGCACCAATTTACATTCCCACCAACAGTGTAAGAGGGTTCCTTTTTCTCCACACCCTCTCCGGAAACTTTTCAAAGAGACCATATTCATTTGTTCATTCATTCATTCAAGAAATCTTTATTGAGTGCCTACCAAGTGTTGAGCTCTGCACTAAATTCTAAGGATACGGTGTTGAGCAGAAGCAGGTAACATTTCTGCCCTCAGGGAGTTTAAAGCCTAGTTGGGGGGCAATTTTAATCAATATATCTTACAGATGAGTGTACAATTACAGCTGTGATAAGTGCTAACAGAGGAAGGTACACAGAAAGAGTTAAATTACAGATTAGATTGAATATGGAAGGTCAGGGAAGACTTTTCAGTGGGGGTGGCAATTGAACTGACATCTGAAGGATGACTGAGGGTCGATAAGACAAAGATGGGCTGGAGAACATGCCAATAAAGTGAACAGCATTCATCATGTGGTCATTCTATGTGTCAGGGCTATTCTTGGTGCTGAGCATACAGCAGTGAACAAAATAAATTCCCTGCCCACGTGGGGCTGACTGGGGACAGAAACAGACTATAAACAGATGTCAAATATAAATGTTGTCAGGAGGTTATAAGTGTTGTGAAGAAAAATAAAAAGTAAGCTGAATACGGAGTGCAGGTATGGAGGTGAGGTGGATATTTTATAGGGGAGGGTCTGGGGGAAGGTCTCCCTATTAAGCTACCTTGAGCAGAAATGGGAAGGCGAGGCAGCAAGTCACGCAGTTATGGGTGGAGGAGGCCTCTCTGGGCAGGGGGAAGAATGAGAGCCGAGGCCTGGGGTAGAGCATCCTTGGGCATGCTCTAGGAGCTGAAGGGACTGTGTCTAAATGTGTGGGGTGGGAAGGTGGGTGCAGTGCATTAGATGCCATCAGAGGGGTAATGGGGCCAAATCATTCAGCACCTTTTATGCGAATGAGAAAGGCAGCCTTTAGAGAGTCTAAGCCTAGGTGTGATAGACCTGACATCCTTTGAGAAGGATCCCTCAAGCTAATCTATAGAGAATAGACTGTTAGTGGAGTGGATTAAGGGTAAGGGAAGCAAGAACCACTTAGAAGCTATTACGATAATGGTTTGAACCAATTTCATACAAACAAAGGTGGTGAGAAGTGGTCAGAACCTGAATATACTTTATAGACAGAGCTGATGGGATTTGCTGAGGATTGGATGTAGAGTGTGGGAAAAAGACAGTCAAGGATGGCCTCAATGTCTTTGCACTGAGCAACAGGAAGAATCAAGTTTTTATTTACTGAGATGGAGAAGATTAGGAGAGAAGCAGGTCGGGAGAGGTGGATCAGGGGCTTGTTTTGAGGCATGTTAAGTTAGGGATGCTCTTAGACTTGTGCCAAGTCCTGTGGTGGGTGGAGTTTGACATGTTTGATTAACTGAAAGAAGACAGTGAGTCTGAGCAAAGCTGGTACAAGAGACATATCGTGTGATGTGCTGGTAGGGCAGGCTGCGGTCAAACCACATCAGACCTGGAAGGTCACCTTGGAGATTTCAGCCTGAATGCTAAAAGCAGTGGGAAGACATGAGTTATTTAGGATATTTAAGGGTATCAGATTTTCATTTCCAAACCGAAACTGACTGCAGTGTGGCAAAGTTATTGGAGTTGGGGATTGATGTGGGTAAGATTGAATGCAGGAAAACTTACTAGTAAACACAACAGTCCCGAAAAGATGTTGTGGTAGCTTAGGTCATGTGGTGATGGTGGACGTGGAAAGGCAGGCGATTAGACAAATTCAGAAGACAACTGTCAGGATTGGGTAACGAGTGCCCATGGAGGTGAGAGAGAAGGAAGTGTCAAAGCCTTCAGGCTTATACAATAGGATGGACAGTGATTTAATTCAAGAATACAGGACAAACCGGAATAAGAGCCAGTCTTTAAGGGAAAGATCATAAGATTAAGGTGCCTTTGTGATATTCAAGTGGAAATGTCAAGTAAGCTGTTGTGTACTGTTTGAATCTCAAGGATGGGGTCTAGGCAGGAAAGATTAATTTGTGAGAGATATTCCAAAGCTGAAAGGAAGGATAGTTTTGAGTGCGGCAGATTGATATGCAAGAGAGGGAAGGGATAATCAATCATATAGCTCTCAGAGAAGACTGGAGGAGATGAAACCCAAATGCAAATAGAGAGGTGAGCCCCATATAGGAAGAGAGGCGGCTTTTCCCTCTATTGACAAGGATGGGCACAGATACAAGATTTATTTGTGTGCTTCATTCACTCGACAAATATACATTGTGCACTTATCATGTGCCATGCACAGCTCAAATTGCTGGCGATACAGAAATAAAAAAGAAACAACCTTCCCCATCAAGGATCTCTCAGTCAAATAGGAGAGATTACACAGTATAGCAACAGAAGAGAGTTTATGAGAGCCATGGGAGTACTGCCATGGTTGGATATACACCCTGGCACTTTGGGGACACAGATTTTTTCACAAGTCAGAGAAGAGATGGGTATGATATTATGACCTATGATGCTGTAAAAAGGCATATCTTGAGGGGGTTTAGAACCTGAATCCAAGAATTCAGATTTTGCAATTTATCCCTGGGAAGAGACAAATGCTGTTTCCAATACAAGGCATGGGTCCCAGGACTGAACTAATTGTTTGCAATTCTAGGCTAAGATTTCTTCAAAGACATTATCTCATCAAATTTCTCATTGAAAACTAGAGGAAAGGACTCAGACTGTTCATGTCATCAAGCTTCCAACAATTCCAGGGGTCTACACTGACCTTGAACCAGCTTCAACCTGGTCCCATCCTTTTCACCCTTGGCTAACATCCAAATTGCAAACCTTTCCAGTCATCCGTCCTTTCCCAAACTCTCATCAGGTTCCCTTGTGCTTTCTTCCCTTCCTCATAGTCTTTTCTCTCCCCTGCATCACTCCACCCTAATCTTTCCAATAATGTTTGTGGAGGCCCTCTACATCTTTACTGAACTTTGAATATGCAATTAGGAGCTATCTCAAATACTTTGTTCATTCTTTCCCATCATCAGAAGGATGTTCAGCATTCTTTTAAGTCCTAAACATACCTCCAGACATCTTTTAAGGCTTCATTTCCATCCCTAATCAGACTAGACTACATAATTTTTAACCATTGTCCTAAACCGTTTTCTTAAACCATACACTCTATTCTCTTGCTATCTTCCATACATTACCTCCAAAATCCAAGTCCTGGAAGAATTCTAATGTCCACCTTCTTTGCACCTGTTCATGCACCACCAGGCACAGCTGTGGAAAATTGTACATGTGTGTAGATTGATGCCAGTAATTATCTCCTAATTTTGGCTAGACCCTCATTCTCACTTAGCAGTACTCTGCCTGCCCTGATCATCTCCTCAAAATTCTTATAACAGCTCCTTCACTTCTTTACCATCCTCCTCAAACCCTCTAACCCACAATTTTCCATGCCATTTTCAGCTCATGACTTCCCTTCCTATTTCAAAGGAAATGGAAGCCTTAAAATAGGAACTCTGTCAATTTATCCTTTCAGGAGGATACCTGCATGCATTTATCTATATTTACACCAAATTAGTATATGTCTCACCTCCTGCCAAAAGTTAACTCTTGAACTTGGCTCTGGATTGCGTTTGCAATTCTCTCATCTCACTGGGATTTCTCTATCAAAGTTCTACAGTATTTTAGGCAGTAGGAAAGACGTTTATAGAGAAGCTGGGTAAGATTAGTAGACTAGAATGAAAATAAAGATCCTGAGTCAGGATGACAGGTGTTGGAATTTTTAAAGTGCAAATTAGAATATCTCATCATACTTTCCCTGTAGTACGTGATGGGGATGCAATTTTAGCAGCTTTGCATGTTGTGGAAATGCACCTTTATGCACCTCTCAGTATTTTTCCATAAGACTCATCCACTTGAAAACTGACTATTACTGAGTCACTTCCTCCAGTAAGTCCTGAAGTGTGTGGTCAAACAAGAGTATATACACTGAGGAGTCCAACAATGGTAAGAAAATAAATCTATAGTCAATATGCTTTTACTAATGGTTGGGCTTTTTCTCTTGGAATAAATCTGGAAGCCATGCCAGAACCTTTCACCACTTGTTACCTTTTCTGAGTGTGCCCTGGCTCAGGTACCAGTCAGTTCCCCCAGTATCACTGGTTACCTGCAATGGGCCAAGCATTGTGCTATCCCGGCGGCTGTGTCCAGCTCTGGGGGAAAAAATGTGGTGGGTGATGGGAGCAAATAAGACAAAGGTTATATTTTTGTCAGGAAATAAAGTGCTGCTAGCCAAATACCATGTTGCTTCTCCAATAATTTCGGTGAATTCTAGGTTGAGTTAAAAAAAAAAAAAAAGGAAGTCTTCTCTTGTGGAATCAGTCAGCTGACTGAGAGAGACAACTAGTAGAGCAGATGTGCTTTTGTTACCAAAGCTCTAATGTTCAAAAAGAATTGCCCTTAACCTCTTGAAATACCAAATTACACCCTGAACTAAAAGAAAAAGCAACCAGCGCATAGCTAAGAAGAAGAGGGATATTGCCTCCTTTCATAAATTTGAGTCTTAGTTTCTGGTTTGGGAAGCAACAAATCAAAGATGCCCAAACTTTTGAAACAAGAAAACCAGAGCAACAGAATATCAGCCATGTTAAACTGGTGATATATTATCATCTTTAGCTTTAACTAAGCTGGTTAGATTGGTCATGATAGAATGAATATATTTCTAACACTTGCTAATTACTAGCTCAATCTAAAATATAAAGAAACTCTTTTTCCTACCTTGTTTTAATGCATTTGTGTAATAAGTTAAAGATAAGGACTTCTGTGCTCATGAACAGAACCAGCAGTTCTTTGCAGCTTGAAAATACCTAAAAAGTTCTAAACCCAAACTGGGAAGTATTATTAAATCCACTTTGAGCTAAGTGCAGAAATGGTTGGTATAGTGCCCTCATATAATAGTCTAGACCAGTTCTCAGAATGTGGTCTGCAGACCTCTGAGGTCTCGAAGATACTTTCAGGGATCCACAGGGTCAAAAAATTTAAGATGTTATTTGCCTTTTTTATTGTGCTAACATTTGCACTAATGAAAATACAAATGAAATGTATTAAACTTAGCACGAATCAAGGCAATACCCCAGACTGTACTAATAGTCATTGTATTCAAAGCTTAAAAAGAAAATAATGTTTCATTTAAGAATGTCCTTGAAGAAGCAGTTAAAAATAATTATATTTCAATCCTTGCTTACATGTCTTTAATATTTTGTGTGATGAAATGTAAAGTATATAAAGAACTGCTCCCTACCAGAGTTGTTTCCAAGACAAGCACTTGTGTGATTGAGTTGTGAGCTGAACTAGCTGATTTTTTCATGGAATTTTGTTTTATCTGAAAGAATAACTCATAGACAAGCTATGGTTATTCAGATTTGAGTATCTGGCAGACATTCCCTCAAAATAAACTAAGTGAATTTGTCGCTTAGGAAAACAACTGGCAGTGTTTTTGCCAATGAAGAACTTGAAGCTTTCAAATGAAAAATAGAGTTTTGTAAGACTTCTATCAGCTTGACAGCTTCCCAGTACTTAAAGACTTTCCTGATAAGATTGACTAGATATTAACAAATATGATTTTTTAATATTATATAATGAAACGTGTTAACATTTGTAAGATCTGTGTAACTCGGTGAATTGTCATTTTCCAGGTGACCAATGCATGATGTTATAAAATTATGCATGAGTAAAAGATCCATCTAGATAGTGAGATAGGCCAATGGATCTTAGTGTAACAGAATCTGAAAAGTTCATTGATATGGTTTTAGATTCCACATTGTACTAAACTTTAAGAAACTATAATTTGCCAAGCTTTTGGTATAATATCAAAACAAAAATCCACAATTATCTAGAAAGGCTTTTAAAATACCCCTCCCTTTCCAACTACATATCTGTGTGAGGCCAGATTTTCTCCATATGTTCAACCAAAATAATACAACAGATTGAATAAAGAAACAGATATGAAAGTCTAGTTGCTTCTACTAAGGCAGATACTAAAGAGGTTTGCAAAAATGTAAAACAGTGCCAATCTTCACAATATAGATTTTTTAATTTTGGAAAATATTAGTCACTATTCAAAGTAGTCACTTTTCAAAAAACATGTTATTTCTGTTAACATTTAATGTGCTTATTGTGGTTTTAAATGATAAATAAATATTTTTAAATTTCAGTTTTATTTTCAAATATGTGAAGTATTGGTGGGCATATCCACATAAAGGCTCTTTGGGATATTCAATAATTTTAAGAGTATAAAGAGATCCTGAGACAAAAAAAAGTTTGAGAACAAGTGGTTTAGCTGATCCTAGTGAGAGAAGGGCTCTTTTACCTATGCTAAACTATAGCTACAGAGAAACCAATATGTTTTGTGACATTTAATCCCAAGAGAAATGTAACTGGTTTTGTTGTTTATTGATTAAAATATGCTTCACAGATTGCAGCCAAGGCATTTTTAAGGAGATCCAGCATTTCATTAGTCAGAGTTCTTTGGTTGAAGGCAATGGAAATCAACTAAGGCAACTGAATTAGTTTTCTATTGTTGTGTAACAAATTACTCAAAATTTAGCAGCTTAAGAAAACATGTAATTATCATCTCACAGTTTCCATGCAGTTTTAGAACCCATAGAACTTGTCACTTATTTTTTAAATTTAATTTTATTCATTTATTTTACATTCAGCAGGTTCTTATTAGTTATCTATTTTATACATAATAGTGTATATATGTCAATCCCAATCTCCCAATTCATCCCACCACCACCCCTGCCACTTTCCCCCCCTTGGTGTCCGTACATTTGTTCTCTACATCTGTGTCTGTATTTCTGCCTTGCAGACTGGTTCATCTGTACCATTTTTCTGTGTTCCACATATATGCGTTACTATACAATATTTGTCTTTCTCTTTCTGACTTACTACACTCTGTACGTATGACAGTCTCTAGATCCATCCACGTCTCTACAAATGACCCAATTTTGTTCCTTTGTATGGCTGAGTAGTATTCCATTGTATATATGTACCACATCTTCTTTATCCATTTGTCTGTTGGTGGGCATTTAGGTTGCTACCATGACCTGCCTATTGTAAATAGTGCTGCAATGAACAGTGGGGTGCATGTGTCTTTTTGAAATATGATTTTCTCTGGGTATATGCCCAGTAGTGGGATTGCTGGGTCATATGGTAATTTTATTTTTAGTTTTTTAAGGAACCTCCATAATGGCTGTATCAATTTACATTCCCACCAGCAATGCAGGAGGGTTCCCTTTTCTCCACACCCTCTCCAGCATTTGTTGTTTGTAGATTTTCTGATGATGCCCATTCTAACTGGTGTGAGGTGATGCCTCATTGTAGTTTTGATTTGAATTGTTCTAATCATTAGTGATGTTGAGCAGCTTTTCATGTGCTTCTTGGCCATCTGTGAGTCTAGGAAGACAGTCACTCTTACAAAGGGATCACTGAGTAGATTAGGCCCACTTCGGATAATCTCCCATTTCACTTAATTAAGGACGTTCATTACACCTTTGTTATATAAGGTAACACAATCATGGGAGTGTAAGCCATTACCGTTGCCATATTTTATTGGTTAGAAGGAAATTACAAGACCTGCCCATTTTCAAGGGGAGGGGACTATAAAGTGTGTGGGTCACTGGGGGTCATTTTGGGATTCTGCCTTCCATAGCGATGTAAACAAATAGAGAATTTATTGAAAGTAAATGAGGTAGCCACACAATCAAAAGCGTGGCTGAAAAGCCAGCCTTGGAAAGGGCAAGAAGCCCTTTTCCATTTCCTAAAAGCTATCAATAACTTGCTTTTTGTATCAAGAGGACAAATATTAATTGACTAGATTATCTAGTCAACATGACATTACTAGGTGAATCAACTCCATATTTTCTTAACATTGTGTTCCTTTACTCAAAGTTTAAAATCCTTTCCCTTGGCTAAGTGGGGCAGAGAGTCTTGAAGGACAGTCCCACAAAGACTATCCACAGTAGAGAAAGAGGTACTGCCCCAAAAGGAGGTTTTGAAAAGTAGAAGGAGAAAAAGGTGCTGGAAGGCCAAGATAAAAACGTCCACGAAAGTCATCAGAACCAAAGATAGCATAACTTTTCAAAGAGCAAAGGCAGAGAAATATTATCCTTCAACAATATATACTCATGATGTAAAATTTGACAAATCTTTTATACTTATAAGCTCAGGTTTTGAAAAGAACTTCTGAATAGATCATTATTATATATCCCCATTGACTTGTTTTTTAATGACACAAAATAGTTTCGCATTATAGTTTGACTATTTCATTTATTATTGCTATGAAAGAGGGACAGATAGCTTTTTGTAGCTTTAAACAAAAAGATTATTTAGGAATTATTGCCTCACTATATTAGTTCTTGTCAAACAATGACTAACTAGTTGTCTTGATCTTACTTCCAATATTCCTTTTATCCTATATTTGAGATATCTCCTGCCTCAATTTTCTAGCCATCATCTATTCCATCATTCCAAGAACATCCAAAATTGCCCTTCCTCTATCAAGAAGACAAACGTTCATATTCCTGACTCCAGCTTCCAGCCAGGACACCTCCTAAAATTCACTTTACCACTGCTTATACAAAGTAAAATTTCATATTTTTGTCCCAAGTGTCTGGCTGGAATCAACCTTTCCTTAATACGCAAATAACATAAGTTAGCCTCCCATCACATGCATTTTGAGAAATTTCCATGTATGCCTGGCAGGCTTATATATATTCTCCTGATTACCTTTGATTCTGAATTGCTGCTCCCACTGGATTCTTCATTCCTCTGCTTATTTGCTCATCACCTGTTGTGACTGCTCTTTCCATACCACTGCTGATGGCAGACATGGCTCCCTTTACCAAGAGTACCACTAACATAAATATATAGCAGACACTTCCTTAAGTTATGGGGTAACACAGAGAGATTACAGCACAAAATGGGAATTTTTTAAAAATTTTACTTCATTATACTTATTTCACTGCCTCACTATCCACAGCACAGATTTTTGTTTTTTTTTTTTTTTTGGTACGCGGGCCTCTCACTGTTGTGGCCTCTCCCGTTATGGAACACAGGCTCCGGACGCGCAGGCTCAGCGGCCATGGCTCACGGGCCCAGCCGCTCCGCGGCATATGGGATCTTCCCAGACCGGGGCACGAACCCATGTCCCCTGCATCAGCAGGTGGACTCTCAACCACTGCGCCACCAGGGAAGCCCCAATTTTTAGTTTTTTAAGGAACCTCCATAATGTTCTCCATAGTGGCTGTATCAATTTACATTCCCACCAACAGTGCAAGAGGGTTCCCTTTTCTCCACACCCTCTCCAGCATTTATTGTTTGTAGATTTTTTGATGATGGCCATTCTGACTGGTGTGAGGTGCTACCTCATTGTAGTTTTGAATTGCATTTCTCTAATGATTAGTGATGTTGAGCATTCTTTCATGTGTTTGTTGGCAATCTGTATATCTTCTTTGCAGAAATGCCTATTTAGGTCTTCTGCCCATTTTTGGATTGCGTTATTTGTTTTTTTGATATTGAGCTGCATGAGCTGCTTATAAATTTTGGAAATTAATCCTTTGTCAGTTGCTTTATTTGCAAATATTTTCTCCCATTCTGAGGGCTGTCATTTCATCTTGTTTATGTTTTCCTATGCTGTGCAAAAGCTTTTAAGTTTCATTAGGTCCTATTTGTTTATTTTTATTTCCATTTCTCTAGCAGGCGGGTCAAAAAGGATCTTGCTGTGATTTATGTCATAGAGTGTTCTGCCTATGTTTTTCTCTAAGAGTTTTATAGGTCTTTAATCCATTTTGAGTTTATTTTTGTGTATGGTGTTAGGGAGTGTTCTAATTTCATTTTTTTATATGTAGCTGTCCAGTTTTCCCAGCACCACTTATCGAAGAGGCTGTCTTTTCTCC